GCATCTAAAGCACCTTTTACTAAGATCAATGTGGTTGTATGTAAACCTAGAGCAATAGCATGATGAACTAAGAAGTCTCCAGGCCCTATTGTTAAGAATAGTGAATTACTATTTTCATTAACAGCATTTAACCAGCCGGGCAACCATATGCTTCGGCCCGCATTGAATGCTGAGCTATTCGTTGAGGATAAAAGTACATCGAACCCATATGAAGTTTTACCATGAGCGGATTGTATCCATTGGGCAAATATGGGTTCGATCAAGATTTGTTTCTCCGGAGTACCAAAAGCAAGCATGACATCATTATGGACATAAAGTCCCAAAGTATGGAACCCCAGAAAAAGGCTGGCCCAACTTAAATGGGATATGATAGCTTCTTTATGGTCTAACATTCTTGCCAATACATTATCCTCATTCTGTTCCGGATTATAATGTTAATGCGCCGAGAAAAGATGAACAAAAAAGAAAAATATTCAAGTTTTACCTAAAAAAGATAGATCGTTCCTTGATTATGTCTTTTCCGGAAGTAACCTTCAGTCGTTTACTACATGTAGTATATATATCTACTAATAATGTTGACATATCTTCATTTGATACAAAGCTTAGAATGCATGATCTGACATATAAGTTGGTGTATCTAAGGCCAGGTAAACCTCCGGTGCCATGTTATAAGGGATATGTTTGTGTTGACCAGACAGGTCAAATAAAATGGAATGAGGGTGAATCATGTTGAAACTATTCAGTCAATTATCATCAGGAAAACAATTTCTTCGTAGAGTAAGAGAAGATACAACTTCGGTATGTACTGAGATAACGATCAATACTACAGAGAATACAGGCAAAAGTGGTGTCATTTTAAATCCTAATCATGTTAATGATGTAGCAGTCTGGAAGCATATATGCTTAAGCCCTAATCCTATATGGAGGAGTAATAAGTATATAAAAAGTTTGACTAGGAATCACCGCTTTTGTAAAAAAATAATTAAGAATTTGGGTCGGTTTCAAGCAATCTATACATTAGGGATGTGGTTGCCACCCACCGCTAGTTTGACTCAACTACCTTTCAAAATCAAAATACCTAACATACCTGGCAGGGTAGGACGAGCAACTATTACTCCCCTCCGTTCTCCGGATAGCAAGCCCGGACTAGCTGACATATGTCGTCGAAAGATGAGTAGAATCAAAGATTTCAGTCTGAAAGAAGCGATTATCTATTCCTATTGTAGGGACTTGAGATTTGTGTTGGTGCTTTGTAGTATGATAGGATTTTCTCTGTGGTGGTTTATTGCGCCTGAGCAGTTGTTTCTATATCCACAAGCTCTCAGCTCGCCTGATCTCACACTACTATTCAATACAGCAAAAGATAGTTTTGTGGACCACGTGTGCAGCTCGCACCCTCAAGTTCAATCTCCATGTCCGTGCGGGGAACCGCTCAACAACGAGCTTAAGCACATTATTGGTGCGAAATCAGCTTATGACCCCTTACATCTTCAGAATCAGAATCTCTCAATCGAAAAGAAGGCTTTCAGCATCTATATTGCTTGTATTTTGCTAACTATTATATTAGCCGAGTCTGTATCCAACCAAGGAACTCTGGTTCCATTTTTGTAATGGGAGGAAGAGTCAAAGCTTGAAAAACGGGCCCCACTCGCTCGCTTACAATAGGAAAAAGATCAGAGGAAATCAAAGAGTTACTACTGCTTGCTTAGAAGCGCTATATTTATCATTTTCATTACTCATTTTACCCGCTATGTTGGATTTGTTTTGGAAATTGACATCTGAGAAGCCAGAAATAAGAAGAATACCACACCATGACGAGTCTAATGTTAAATTGCATACCATTAATCATGCGAATAAAGCTAGCACTTCAAATAATCCTGAGCAAGAAGCAACTACAGCTTCCACTAGCTCTGGTACTGGTAGTAAATTAATGAATCTTCCTGTTTGGGTCAAAATAAGGCTCAACATGAGCATCTTATTACCGGGTTTCAAATTAACAGCGGATAGCTGGGAGCAGCGAGATAGATTAGAAAGCCTGCAGGTTGACGATGCGCATCTTCGCCAACTGAAGGGGAAGATCCAGCTTGCAGAAGCACAGAGGTGTACAAACATCAAACGGAATTTAGGGCGGCAATATACACTTTCGAGAAGTGGGAACCTCTTAGAGTTAATTGGAGTCAGATGCCTTTCAGGATCGATTATCGGGGTAGGACACCTCTTATAAGGTCTCCGGACAAGAAAGAGGGTCTTTCGGATTTTTTACGAGATACTAGTAGAATAAAAGGATTTGGCTTGCGCGAAGCTTACCTATACTCTTACTGGAAAGACATGCGCTTCGTGATAGCTATGTTAGCCATAATAGGATTATCTCTGTGGTGGTTTATAGTGCCAGACCCTGTCCTGGTAAGCCCTTATGCCCTCTCCTCGCCGGACCTACCGCTTCTTATAAAGGTTGCGAAGGACACCGTTGTGGAACGTGTATGCAGCGACCATCCGTGGATGACGAGTCCGTGCCCGTGTGGAGAACCGCTCAATAACGAGGTGCGGATGCTTCTTCCCTTCCTCTTGATGCGGAATTCAAGGCTAGGAGAGAGCAAGGGGCGTAGCGACTACTACTCTATAAGTAATAGAGAATTTCTATTAACCAAGCTTTGATAGATACTTATCTTTGGGGAACTCTTTTATTATCTATAGTCTATGTGCCCGCCGGGACTGGGGTTGGTTCTGACCTCGTCCTAGAAGATTCATACTTAATCTATGAATGCAAGCTGAGAGGGAGGAAAGGAATGATACATTACATCAATCAACTTGAATTCGAGACAGCTATTCGAAAAGAGTTCTTTTTTAAAGTCTCGGTCAAAAGCCGTAGGGCATTTCGGATTCCATTCTTTTTGAGTTGGATAAGCCAGCAAAGGAAGAAGGACTCGGCTTACTTTATTTACTCACTGGTGAGGTAGCTGAGCTGTGACGATAGAAAGAGGACTTGAAGGCTTAGCTCGTCTGTGTACCCGGAGAAAGGAGAAGATCTAATTAGCTCTGCTTCGAGGAGCGTAGCCCTGTGTTAGGGGAGGTCGTGGCTATCTGAGATC